AAAAAAAAAAAAAAAAAAAAAAAAAAAAAAGAAAGAAAGAAAAAATGAATACAAAGGGGAAGTAGCATAATTCTCAAGGGAAAAACTAAAAACCTGAAAACTTCATAAGGTCAGCCATGGAAAACGAGCTTGAGGGAGCCTCAGTCTGTTGAATCAGTACCTTTGGTAATAATGATCAGCTGTCTTCTCCCCCGGTGATTTCCCAAGCTGAACCATCTCTCCAGGTGACCACATCTACCCAATGTAGGTGCGACCCCCTTCTCCTTCTAGAATTTAATTAGAATCATCAATGCCTTATATTATCATGAAAAAAATATTAACTGGGCATGGTGCAGCAGCATGCCTTTGGTCCCAGGTATTCAGGAGGCTGAGGGGATTGCCTGAGCCAGGAGACCGAGGCTATAGTGTGCTGTGGTTGCACTTATGAGCAGACACTGCACTCCAGCCTGGGCAACATAGTGAGGCTCTGACTCTTAAAAAATAAGTTTATCTGTCCACTAAGTAAGCCCAAGAAGTCAAGGGCAGAATGGTCACCCAACACTTGAAGATCTCATCACACAGATAGCAAAGACCCCATCTGGATGAGTTGATAGCAGAAGAGCTGTCTCTGACCTTTGTCACCAAAACAATTCTGTATTTATTTCCTAGGTGAAAATGTAAGTTTATCGCCCTCCTGGTCTCACTCATTTCTACTTTAGGCTAGAAAGAAAGTTCTTACCTTCTTTGCTGGGTTTTTAATTTACATTGAGATACAACAAGGCAGAAGTCTCTAACATGCAGGTGAGATCTCCACCCTGTCTTCAGAGTTGGCTGAGGGACCTCAGGCTGATCTGATTTGTTCCAGACCTACAGAGTCAATAAAGAAGGTGCCGCTCTAGTCTGGCTTGTCTTCTCCCTGAAAAGCAATGAGGACATCCACAGCCCTGGCCAAGCATTCACAGTGACAGGGAGGAAAGTTCAGGCTTCCTGCCTCGAAGCAGTAGGCAGCCCCTGACGTCAGTCAGATCAGGCCCCCAAGGAGGATTTGAAAGGGGAGATTGCATAGTTGGGGTGTCTCCCATATACCCAAGGAGATGGGGTTTCTCTAACTGCACCCACGTCAGTCCTAAATCTTCTTACTCTCCTGGATTAGAAGGCTATGTTTCCCAAGCCACATCTGAGAAGCCTGAGCTCCTTAGCCCTGAAATAGCAGAGTGCTGACAAGACACAGGGGCCTGGGGGCTCTGGAGTCCAAGGAGGTCCTCAGCAGAAGCCTCACAGGAGGTATTCTTTGCTGTGGCCAACAAACATATGAAAAAATGGTCATCATCACTGATTATTAGAGAAATGCAAATCAAAACCACATTGAGATACCACCTCACGCCAATTAGAGCGGCGATCATTAAAAAATCTGGAGACAACAGATACCGGAGAGGATATGGAGAAATAGGAACACTTTTACACTGTTGGTGGGAGTGTAAACTAGTTCAACCATTGTGGGAGACAGTGTGGCAATTCTTCAAGGACCTAGAAATGGAAATTCCATTTGATCCAGCAATCGCATTGCTGAGTATATACCCAAAGGATTATAAATCATTCTATTATAAAGACGCATGCACACATATGTTCATTGTGGCACTGTTTACAATAGCAAAGACTTGGAACCAACCCAAATGCCTATCAACAATAGACTGGACAAGGAAAATGTGGCACATGTACATGGAATACTATGCAGACATAAAAAACGATGAGTTCGTGTCCTTTCTAGGGACGTGGATGGAACCATCATTCTCAGCAAACTTACACAAGAACAGAAAGTCAAACACCGCATGTTCTCACTCATAGGCAGGTGTTGAACAATGAGAACACATGGACACAGGGAGGGGAGCATCGCACACTGGGGTCTGTTGTTGGGGGCCAAGGGAGGAACAGCGGGGGTGGGTGGGGAGGTTGGGGAGGGATAACATGGGGAGAAATGCCAGATGTAGGTGACGGGGGATGGAGGCAGCAAACCACATTGCCATGTGTATACCTATGCAACAATCCTGCATGATCTGCATGTGTACCCCAGAACCTAAAGTACAATAAAAATAAAAATAAAAGAAATATCCCACCCTTTCTATGGACACTTGGGATATAACCTGAACTGCAGTTAGTCACTGTTCTTGGACAACTTACTTTTGCAGTTACTATAAGATGCTCGTGTGTGTGTTCTTGTAGGTAATAAATACACCATGGAAACTCACAAAGAAAGTGATACTCTGTTTACGTATCTTTATCCAGTAGGTCAAGTTTGTTAATTATTATTATTATTATCATTATTTTGAGACAGTCTCACTCTATCGCCCAGACTAGAGTGCAGCGGCACAATCTCAGCTCACTGTAACCTCTGCCACCCCGGTTGAAGCAATTCTCAGACCTCAGCCTCCCAAGTAGCTGGCGTTACAGGCACCCCACCAACATGCCAGGCTAATTTTTATATTTTTAGTAGAGACGTGGTTTCTCCATGTCGGCCAGGCTTGTCTCAAACTCCTGGCCTCATGGTCCTCCCCCCTCAGCCTCCCAAAGTGCTGAGATTACAGGTGTGAGCCTCCACACCCGGCCTAAATGTGTTAATTATGTTAACTCAAATCCTCTTTACTTGTTCTTCCTAATCTGCCCATCTTTGAAAGAGGTATTTTGAAGATTTCTATGACAAGTACAAATTTAGCAATTTCTCCTTGTATTTGAGTCTTTGCATTATATGTTTTGAAGCTATATAATTAGATATTAAATTTAAACCACGTGAAATTGCCATTGACAACTATGTAATTATACATGAAGGCTTATTGTCATTTAACTGTCTTGGCAGATGGCGACATAAAAATTAAATATCGGGCCAGGTGTGGTGGCTCACACCTGTAATCTCAGCACTTTGGGAGGCTGAGGCAGATAGATCATGAGGTCAGGTGTTTGAGACCAGCCTGGCCAACGTGGTGAAACCCCATCTCTATTAAAACTACAAAAATTAGCCCTGCATGGTGGCAGGCACCTGTAATCCCAGCTACTCAGGAGGCTGAGGCAGGAAAATGACTTGAACTTGGGAGGTGGAGGTTGCGGTGAGTTTTGACTTCATCATTGCACACCAGCCTGGGTGACAGGCGGGACTGTCTCAAAAAAAAAAAAAAAAAAAAAAATTAAACATCACTCTGCCTTTTAAAATTCTTTTTGCACTGGATTCTCTTTTATCTGACATTAACATTTCCACATTAGCTTACTTTTTGTTAGTGGTTGACTGCTAACATTCTTTCTCCAAATAGACTAAAATACTGATAAAATGCTGTATTACTATTACTGAGAGTATAAGAAAAGGGACCCTCTCCATACACTATTGGTGGGATCATTAAAATGTTTCACTTTTTTGGAATTAAATTAAATTTTAATTGTAATTTATTAAATTACATATTTAAAATATGTAAACCCTTTCATCCAGAAATTATACTTTTAAGTATCACACAGAATTATACACCCATGCAAAAAAAATCTATATAAGGATTCTCATTATCATATAATTTGTGATCAGGAAAAATTGAAAAAAAACCTAAGATAATTTTTTTTTATGTGGCATTACCCACATTTTTAGTTTCCGTGTTGCTGCTTCAACATTTTGGGGCCTTGCTGACCAGGGAGGGACTACCCCTCCCAGGACTAGCTGATTCCCAGATAGGCAAACTAACCAATCTAGAGCCGTACCACTGAATCCCTCCCTTTTTGAACTTTTACACTCAAGACCACTATCTCCCTACCCTAATCACCCTGAGGTCCTGTATCAGACAACTCGGGGCAGTCCACACTCAGGAGTCAGCTGACATTATTCCAGCTGGCTAGTCCTTCACCTGCTTAGCCATCTTACCCTGCCTCACCCATTCCTTCCTCGAAAACCTCCCTTCCCCTGTCTTCTGCCTGTGACCAACCTTGCGTTCTCTCCCGAGGCTGTGCAGTGTGACCCCACCTCTTGGGAACGAAGAGTAACAAACGATCTTTTAAATGGCTATTGTCCCCTGATCTGTTGGCTTCATCATACCTGAATAAAAATAGAATCTACATTTTAAAACATTTATGCATTTTTAAAAGTCATAATGAGTACAGACAGCAGTTATTGCTAGGGGTACTCATGGGTAGAGTGTCATCTACAAGGAGAGAAGAGAGGCAGGTCACACTATGCACTGCTTGATTTATTTTTATAGTAAAAATCTGTTACTTGTGTACTTTTTTTTTTCTTCAAGATGGAGTCTCGCTCTATTGCCCAGGATGAAGTGCAATGGCGTGCTCTCAGCTCACTGTAACCTCTGACTCCCAGGTTCAAGCAATTCTCCTGCCTCAGCATCCCGAGTAGCTGGGATTACAGGCATGTGCCACCACAACTGGCTAATTTTGTATTTTTAGTAGAGACATGGTTTATCCATATTGGTCAGGCTGGTCTCAAACTCCTGACCTCAGGTGATCTGCCTACCTTGGCCTCCCAAAGTGCTGGGATTACAGGTGTGACCCCCTGCACCCTGCCACTTGTATACTTTTTTTGTGTGTATATGATATGGCGTCTCGCTCCATTGCCCAGGCTGGAGTGCCGTGGAATGGTCTCGGCACACTGCAAACTTTGCCTTCCAGGCTCAAACAATTCTCCTGCCTCAGCCTCCCAACTAGCTGGGATTATAGGCACCCACCACCACCCCCAGCCAATTTTTATATTTTTATTAGAGATGAGATTTCAC